TTGAATGAGTCATCATTTTTTCCAAGGTGATGTGAGAAAGTTACCCTCGTGCCTCTCAGCCAGCTAACAGTGAAACGGCGAGATAGTAGCGCCCTCTTGTGGCTATTTTTTGACATTCATTTGATGAGGGCGTGCCCATTAAACATCTGACAGTGTAATTGTAGTTTGATTTACGGTACAATTTTATTCAACATGTTTTGTCGTTCATTTGATATTAGACCAGGAATATTTCCTCCACACATTTGTGATTCAGAAAAACGTTTTTGGAATGGGCATCATTTTTTAATTTGGCTTTTGTATTTCCTGTCAGTATCCTGGGTTGAGCATGTAAGAAGTTTTGCATATTTGCCTTTTGCTTCATGCCAGTGTCTGATGTAGATAGGTAAGTAGGTAGATAGATAGATAGATAGATAGATAGATAGATAGATAGATACTACAATTAAAAAGTGACAGCAAAAGGTGGGGAAAGCGTGACTATTCCATGTAATAGTGTCATTTGAAATGAGAAATGTAATCAATAAACGAGACTTGCGGATGTCACGGTACACCACTGATTACAATGTCCGATTCACAGTGCAGGGGTTGTGGGTTCAAATCCGGGCTCTGGCCTCCCTGTGTGGGTTTGCATGTTCTCCCCGTGCCTGCACTGTCAAAACAGTTGGGTTAAATTTGACCCAATGTCTGTTTTAAAAAAGCACCGACCCACACTTGGGTTAATTTGAGCCAAAAATTGGGTTATTCAGTTTTCACTGAGGGTTAAGGGTTAAATTAATACAAGAAACTGGGTCAAATATATATACATAAATTATGCAGACTAACTTTTCTAAATCTTATCTGAACTCTCCTGCCCCTTGCTACTGCACTCGAAACAAAAAGCTCACGATGCCTTTTTTTTTTTTATGATTCCTGCATTTGCCCTGTCCAGCACACACACAGTTACAAAGCAACGTGACGATTTTCAAAAGATTAAAATATGTATAGTACCGTACCCAAACAGTGAGAAATGAAGAAATCCGAATGTCAAAAGTGTCGACTTGTAGACATATGAACAGGAAGTCGATGGCTGTCATAGCAACCAATCAGTCTTGATTGGTTGATTTTTGACCCAACAAAAACATTTCAGGCAAATAACACAGTAAATGTTTAATTTGAACCAACAATTGGGTTACTTCCATAAGAAATAACCCACAATTTTGACCTAACACAAACAATCCAAAAATGGAGTTAATGAAATAAACCAACTGTTTTTAAAGTGTGCGTGGGTTTTCTCTGGTTACTCCATTTTCACCCCAACAAACAAGCATGGCAAGTTAATGGAACACTCTAAATTGTCCCTAAATGTGATAGTGAGTGCGGATTGTTGTTTGTCTGTGTGTGCCCTGCAATTGTCTGGCAACCAGTTCAGCTGGGATCGGCTCCAGCACACCTGCGACCCTCGTGAGGATAAGCGGATGGATGAAACTTGTTTTTCAATTATATGGTCTCATGTGCCATATTGTACTAAGTAATGCTACCTTATTAGAAGATTTATAGACTGTTGTAAAATATTTTGTACAGTATACAGTATATCATATAGTCTTTAGACATTTTAATATATAATCTGTTTCATAGTAATATTGGACACACGTGGGACTCATTCACTTAACTGGTGTTTTCCCAGCTTACTATTTTCTTATTGAGGTCAGCGGCAGTATTGAGACAAAGCAAGTGGGTAGCCATAAAAAAAGGACATGCATGGAGAAAAACTGAAGAAAAATAAACTTTTACGAAAAATAAAAATTTGTTCTTAAAAAAAAAAACAAATAAACAAACAAAAAAAAACATGTCTTTGTGGCCACAAAACAAACACCATCTTTTGTGTTCTAAACTCTGTAGCGTAGGGGGAATTTGACGCAGGAATTCTCATCATGCTGAGCGGCATTATGAAAATAGTAAGAAATAAGAATTATGTTTTTATTGTTCATTTTATAGATGTTAATTATTCGATGGTAGTAGTCGCAGACTTGTGTTCATCCACCTCGTTTACTGAATTATTGTTCACTCCCTGTTGGAATATTTATTTTAGCGCCTTGACTAAGTATTGTAGTTGAAGTTTATGGCATTAAATACAAGATGTCGCGGCAAAGTCTTTATTTAATAATATTTGTTTTTATTTGTTTGACATTGAGACACAAGTTTCCGGCCATAAATCTGACAAGTAGTACATACGTTCTTGCGTGACAAAAGCGGGACGGGAAGGACGTGTGTGTGTGCGCGTGCGTGTGCGTGTGCGTGTGCGTGTGCGCGTGCGCGTGTGCGTGTGCGTGTGTGTGTGTGTGTGTGTGTGTGTGACGGCTACACACATAATTGTCCAAAACACACACACGGCCCACCATTGGTTATAATTTATCATGAAACACAATCCATGAAGCATTTTCTTATATCCTGTCATGACAGGGCGAATATTTCTCACTGATCTACATGCACATGCTCAAACACATACACGCAAGCATACAAATGCATATGCACACCCGGCATACAGTTTTTAAAACACAATGGGCTGTAAGTACAAATACAGTAAATATAAAAAAAATGCAGTGATTTGCCCTTATTTAAGAAATGATGTCATTTGAAACAAATGAGTCCCAGTGTGTGCATATACTGTATGATCACCACATGACACTATAAACTGAGCATAAGTACCTCCACCAAGGCACTTCAATGTATTTCCTGAATGCCAATTAGCAGTATTATGAAAAAAAAAAACCTGCACATTGAGCTCACAATGTAATTCAACCTTGCCTGTGTATGTTGGGGATGAGTTTGGTGCTTATCCCAATGAAGATTATCCTGCTTTGGCGAAGGTGCCATGCATCTTACACAATGGTGTCCAACTTGGTTGGTGTACCTAATGATGTGGCTGCCATGGGTGCATGTGTGTGTGTGAGAGGGTGACACGGAAGTGGAGTTTCAGTTCCGTTCCATCCCACCCCCAGAGAAAAAAAAATCCCTTTACAGACCATTGAAATAAAAATTTAATAAAAAAATCCTGTCTCATCCGGTCCCGGTGAAAACGACTCTCATCCCATCCCGCTCCCATTCAGAATAATTCCCACTCCCATTTTGGAGGTCAGCTACATAAAATAAAATAAGTTTGTCACCCCTACCCCTCTTCCGCATGGACTCTAAGTTTTTTTTTTCCTTCAGTGTTGGATATTCCTGTCCCAATCCCGTGATTAAACCTAAAGTTGACTCCCATCCCGTGGGATTCCCCTAAAAGAGTCAGCCTCAAGAGCGTGTACAGTCCATTAGAGGCAAGTTGGGTAAAGTTGTCTGAATGAGGCGAAATTGAGCAATTTGCACAAGATGAAAAGAAAAATGCACTGCATTGACAAAAGCGGGACGGGAAGGACGTGTGTGTGTGCGCGTGCGTGTGCGTGTGCGTGTGCGTGTGCGCGTGCGCGTGTGCGTGTGCGTGTGTGTGTGTGTGTGTGTGTGTGTGTGTGTGTGTGTGTGTGTGTCCGTCCCATCCCCCCATACTCCCCATGCCATCTGCGACCATGTAGCCACCTACAAAAGGATGCCATTTGCCCTAAAAAGGTGAAATGTGGTATTGTACAGCCCAGCATATGTCAGACCTAGGAAAACAATTCATAGCTTTATTGTTTATCTCACTGAAGAAATTCATAGGCAAACCTGTTATTTGAGTGACAACACATGACTGCACTTTCATTTAGAGAGAATAAAATTATGCACCTTTTCCCCCATGTGTTGCATATGACAATGTGTTGAATGGACAAAGGAGTACAAGGGCCACCCTGAGGCAAGACAAAATCCACAAATTCTACAAGAATAGTCACAATAGGAAAATAGTTGTCATTTTAAAATACTATGACAGGTCACAACTTTCGTAAATTAAAGATGCCCAAACAAGTGAATGGCAATACCTGTACAGTTCATAGCGTGTTTATACTCTAAAATAATTGACTGCAGTCACAAAATATGATGGCGTAATTCACATTATTAGTACTTTGTTTATTTTCAGTGGCCCAAATTTTCCTGCTTTGAATGGGAACGATTGCTCAAGATATGTATATTTTTGAATGATTTGTCAAATGCGCGGGATGATAGAAGTGAAAGATTCCCAGACTTCTGGTGGAGTGCATCATGTTTTGTCCTGAGCATGCGTTAACAGCAGCATGAGCCACTGCAGCAGACAGCACATCCCTCGCTCCGTCCCAAGACTTGAAAAATAAAGCCGGCATACCGTTGGCTAATTTCCAACACTGCTTTAATATTTTGGACCCAACAGCAAAAAATATTTGACGGTAATATTTGTATTCCTTTTAGGGTGTTCAGAACAGACACAGCTACTGTACTCTGTATTGATCAGCATAAGGGAAATGTGTGCAGCACATTGGATGGTCAGGCACCAAAAAACATTGACACTCCTAAGCGTCGATATGGCGGCCCGGTGGTCAAGTGGTGAGCGCGTCAGCCTCACAGTGCAGAGGGGCAGGGTTTGAATCCGGCCTTCCTGTGTGGAGTTTGCATGTTCACCCAAGCCTGCGTGGGTTTTCTTCGGGTACTCCGGTTTCCTCCCACATTCCAAAAACATACATCGCAGGTTAATGGAACACTTTAATTTGTCCCTGCGTGTGAGTGTGAGCATGAATGGTTGTTTGTTTGTGTGTGCCCTGCGATTGGCTGGCAACCGGTTCAGGATGCCTGAAGACAGCTGGGATAGGCTCCAGCATGCCCGCGACCCTTGTGAGAATAAGTGGATCAGAAAATGGATGGATGGAGTGTCTATGTTCAGACTCATTAGCAATTTTCATTTGAGTGTAAGTTGATATTTTAATGCATAATTAAAAATTCATGAAGACAATCATTTTTGTGATAATCATGGACCAGAGTCCACTAATGACTTTTACTGAAGGGCCCGTGTTAGTTCTCACACGACATGAATGGACTGCATTGCATGTCCTGATTCTTTCTGTTTTTGTCGGTGTGTTCTGCAGCTTCCACCAGCACCACCACTACAGCCAAGACCTCCAGTCATGTGACGCGCTGTAGTGACAGCCAGAAGAACTACTGTGTCAACGGAGGGGAGTGCTTTACCCTTGAAATCATGCCTGGCAGCACTAAGTTTTTGTGCAGGTAAGAACTTGGAACTTGAGTTATTCGCTTTGATTGAACATTGTTGTGCCTGTGCGATGGGTTTGCTGTTTTTGTGTTTTACTGGGTGTTCTCTCTGTCAAGCTACTCTGGAAACGATGCATTTCACTCAAATGATACTGAGCCTTAGAGGCCAGGAAGGAAACTATGCAGTATATTTACACTGAGCAGCCACTAAATTAATGCTACAGTACTTTCACAATTTAAGCTTGAATGTCCAAGAAAAGATGGATATCTGCCTTTGCAAAAGTAGCAATACAACAATTTAGCTTATCAAGAGAGTTAAAACTTACTTAAAGGAAAGCTTCATTAAATTTACGTGTGGCTTGATTGGTAGCAATTTATTAGTTTAGCTTGGAAAAATGCTAAGGGCTGAAAAATACACATCTATAGTGACATATTTAACTTCTATAGCAACATTTTCAATACACAGGTACGTCCATGTTGGGTGCAACTAGATATAAAGTGTGCATATCACCGCTGGACAATAGACATACATTGGACAACGAAGAGGACATAAAGAAAAACATTGCCATAATGCAGAGCAAAAAATTGCAAGTGGTTGACCAGAAACAGCAAACAAGGTCCACGATGACATTTTATTCAAAATTTTTTATGGAAAGTGTACTTACGCAAGTTTTGCCAAGCCCCGAGCTCAAGGACAGCCAGGCATGCATGCATGTGTAGCGAACATTTCCGGCACAAGGAGTGATTTACAGCTGTTGAAAAGACACGCCACGCAGGTGACATTAAAAACCAATGCCATGCCGAGTATTTTTTGAACGAAATACGGGCGAGCTGATTTGAGAGAGGGAGGATTTGTGGTTCCTCTGAATCTTAACCCTTCGCGATCACTAGCGCAGGCTGCGGCTTGTGGGTCGTCATGTACATAATGCGAGTGGAGCCGTGCTCACAAATTAAGTTGTTGAGACACCAGACCAAAGTGTCACTCTGTTCATTTTGAGGTAGGAGGTCACACTGGATTAATTCCAATATTGTTGATGCGTGTGTAGCTGGCAAATGAGCACCTTGTCTGCGCCACTTCCTGGTCCACTCGTTCTCCGGAGTGTATTTTGTGTCATCAAACGACCATCCGGCACTGCATCTTTCACATCAAAAGTGAAATGTTATATTTTATAAATTTCATAGAATAATCGTGTGTATCAGAAGCATTGTGCATGTGAGGTCTTGGCAAAGGCTTTCACAGTGAAGTGTTTAGATAATTCACTTGTTCGATAATAACCATCAAGAAGGACCTTATGATTGAGTATTTTCCAAGATAAACACCTGTTCAGACTTTGGCGTTTCTATGTGGTTAAGACACAATAGGTCATTTATTTCCATCATCTATCTGTCTTCTAATTTTCTTATATTATTTCAACCTCTTCCTGTCTGAATTCCTATCATTCTCCCTCTCAAGGTCTCACCCACTCTATCATTCTGTCAGTCTCTCTCTTGGTGTCTCACCCTCTCTCTCTGTCTCTATCTCTCTCTGTTTTCCCCTCTCTTCTCCCTGACTCTCTCTCTCACCCTCTGTCTTGCTCCGTAACTCTCTGTCTCACCCTTTCTTTCTCTCTCTCTCACGCTCTCTTTCTCTCTCTCTCTCTCTCTCTCTCTCTCTCTCTCTCTCTCTCTCTCTCTCTCTCTCTCTCTCTCTCTCTCTCTCTCTCTCTCTCTCTCTCTCTCTCTCTCTCTCTCTCTCTCTCTCTCTCTTCTCTCTCTCTCACTCTCTCAAACTTTTTCCCTCTTTCTCTCAAATGTGGATAGTCCAAATTGAAAAAAAATACGGTGTGTTGAATTTACTCAATTTTATTTTGTCAAGTAGTGACACAAAATAAAATCATCTGGATCCAGATACATTTTTCTAAGTAGACTGTACATGTACTTTAAAAAATTCTGTAAATCCACATGATTCTATTGTCCACTGCCATTTCCCCGGGGTAGGTGGTTGGGAGTCACAACATGTGACCAAGCCCCTCATCAGTGTCCTGTGCTCCTCCTCCATTCCATTCCTAACACAACGAGCAATCGCATTGTCATCCGCAAAATTCTGCAAAGTACTTAAAGTCTGATGTTGTACATGGTGAACAGGACTGCAGAGAGGACAGTCCCCTGTGGTTACTGCCGTGTTGTTAACTACATCTCTGCCAGTTTGTCCCTGCTTAACTGAGATTGGATAGTGTAGAAGGCACTTGAGAAGAGTGAAAGGGCCCTTTTTGTTTCTTCTCACAGTTGTCACGAAAAAAAAAAAAAAGAGTGCAATATTGCTGTGCCGCATGTCAAATACAGTGGTACCTCTACTTACGAATGTCTCTTCATGCAAAGTTTTCAAATTATGAAACGGCTCAACAGGAAAATATTGCCTCTTGTTACGAAATAAATTTCAAGATACGAAAGGTAAAAATGCAGTATGGGCCGCTACTCAGAATTTCCTGAACGCTACGTACTTCTAGCTGCTCTACCATTGGCTATTACCGAGCATCATTCTGGCATCCTATTGGCTAAGAGGGACCTCTACCGTCTGTGTCTATGTGTCTATGCGCCCCTAGTTGTACGTACCGTATTGGCCCGAATATAAGACGGTGTTTTTTTGCATTGAAATAAGACTGAAAAAGTGGGTGTCGTCTTATATTCGGGGTCTAGACATTATACCCACTCACGACGCTAGATGGCGCCAGATATCATTGAAGCGAATGCTGAACTTGACTCCCCAGGCCAAAGTGAACCCCTGTCACGAAGAATAAAAATAAAAATAAAGGTAGCACGGAGAAGAAAAATAAAAAATAGTGGTAAGAAAGAAAAGAGAAGAAAATAATAGAAGAGATAACAGCAAATGGAGAAACATAGCGACAATATGGAAAAAAGTGGGTCAAAGATCGGCCAGGTTAACTGGCAGCTGAGGAGAAGTTATGATGTAATTTACATTTCAAAAAATAGAATCCATTCATTGACGAATGTGATTGCACTTCAGTTTACATATTTAAATGTTCAGATATTAAGATTTGAATGAGGCAAAATAACATAATTTTTCTCTCAAATATATTGTTATAATCATTTGTTTCAGATGTACTGTAATTATTTTCTGTATAAAAAATAATTTGGTGTTCAAAAAGTCTTTTTTCAAACTTGAAAAAGAGGGGGTCATCTTATAATCAGCGCCGTCTTATATTCGGGCTAATACGGTAAATGTGAATCACCCAGAAAAAGTGTTCACCAGTTGGGCGGTCGCTCACCATGCTGATGTTTGCCTTGGACATTTTCGAAGGATTGTTAAAAGCCGACAAAAGCAAACGTCCTTGGATCAAGTTCTTGACAAAACGTGAGGCAAAAACCACTTCTGAGAGAGAACATGAACTAAAGAGGGCAAAAAATAATGAGGACGCAGTTCAAAGTTAAATGACCATCATTTTTATTCTTTATTCTTTGTTTTTTACATTATGGACAACGCTCATTTATTGTGCAATAATCTCATTGAAACATGTATTTGTTAGATATTTTGATGCATTTTTATGCTTTTGAAAACATTTGTGTCTGAATTTTGGGAGGGCTTGGAACGGATTAGGGAATTTACATGGAAAACGTCTCTAATTACAAACTTTTCTAGTTAAGAAATTTCTTCCACCACCAATTAATTTCGTAAGTAGGGGTACCACTGTAATCCCATGCATCCATGTCCAGTATTGGGTTCTTGGTCAAAAGGAAAGTGTGAGATGGGATTGCGACACAGGTCATGATTCATCGTGTTACACAGCTGGTGAATTTTGTTGGTGCTGACAGACAAATTGGGCTGGAGTTATCCACTTTGCACTTTGAAGTCATTTGTCTGATCTTTCGTCAATCATTTGACCATACGTCCAATGCCACATGTGGATCATGACGTAATTGGACATTGAAAAAAATCCATCATTCCAAGACCTTGCCTTTTTTTTTTTGGCCATCTTGTCTGTCCTATATGTAACATGTCAGTATTGTTATTCTCTTGTCCTTTCTACCCATCAACCAGGTGCTTGACCGGATTCACTGGGCACCGATGTGAACAAGCTGTGCTTAAGAAAGTCTCAAACCCAAAACGTATGTGACCACTGTATTCAGTCCCACATGTCATTACTGGTGTTTCACTCTCATTTTTTAAAAGTTGAGAAGTTCATCTTTCTTTTCTGAACAATGATGGTTAAATTTGATCATAAGAAAGGCAGAATTCAAGCTCTGTGATCTGGGTTTGATGAAGGACCAGTGTCCTCTGTGAGAGCAATAATGAACTGAAATTTGCATGTACCTTCCACATCATCACATCCCATTCTGGTGTCCATCACTAAAATAAACAGTGTCTTTTTTTTTTCTTAATACTCAACCGCTACTAATTTTTCATTAAGCACGCCCCTCTGACACCAGCATATCGAACCAACACTGTAGGCTAACTTGCACGTTTTATGCTAACTTGTAATTTGCAACTAATTTTTGGATTAAATGTGTCACAACACTGGGACTCAAGTGAGCACTGGGGGCTGAGGCTCCTCCCGTGTTCTTTGTGAGTCCTGTGTCTCTGGGCTTATATAATTCTCGCGTTGGGCTTCACAAAAATATTTGGGAACAACCGAAAGATCAGCTCAAGTGGCTGCCTATTCACATGCACATTTCAGTCATCTGCTTAAAATTTAAACCTCCCTAAATCCAAGAGATTTTTCCATTGAACTAAAAAGTTACGAATTCCAACAAGACGTTTGTCTAAGGAGCCCTCCATCCCAACACCAGTGATGACCATTGTGGGTTCTTCTTCACTTTGATACACTAACTGCCTGTCTCTTCTTGTCTGTTTCTCTTTTCTCCTAATCAGGTGTCCAAATGAATTTACTGGTGATCGCTGCCAAAACTATGTAATGGCCAGCTTTTACAGTATGTCTACTTTCACTTGTCTCTTTGTTTTTTTTTTTTGTTTTTTTTTTAATGGTGCATGTTTCATTAGCTGTAGACGTGCTGTGATGTGATGCCTTCCAAGTTATGTTTCACTATAAACCTATGATATAGGCAGATATGATTTTTGCATGTTCAAGTTTGCTTCAGTATGTGAAAGCTGCATGCGATATTGATTAAGTACACATGCGCACGCACGCACACACACACACACACACACACACACACACACACACACACACACACACACACACGTACACAAAGCTCTACATAAATAAGGAGCTTATTCATAGGGGACTACCATGCATGGCTAAACACAACCCAGTGGTGTACAGAACAATCACAAGTAAGGAAGCGGCATAAATCTAAACCTTAATGAATTATGCCTAAAGTAGGATGGAAAAATGCTGATGTCACTCCAAACAAGCTAGCAGGCCTTTTTTGGCAAATATGAAATGTGATGGTGAGAAATCAAACAGCCCTTGCTTATTATGTGTATATGCTTTGTGCCAACATTCCTGATTCTCAAGGACCTGGCCTGATTATATTGACATGGCCACAAATAGAAACGGGAATTAAATTGGCCAAAAAACAAACAAACAAATAAACAAAAGAACATGTTAACATCTAAAATGCACACCCTAGCGGGCATGTGACATCAATTTGAAGTTGAATATTGGATTTTGATGTCATATTGATGTTGAATTGACATCAGATACCCACTGGGACTGAAAGCTGAAATTATTATCTCTGCTTTGAAACAGTAGGGCACAAGAGCTTTGCTCGGGGAGGTGTTTACAATGCTGCAAAGGACATTTTTGATCTCCTCAGCGGACTGCTTTAGAGCCCATTTTGGAAAGTTATCCAAGCCAAATGTGTTGTATGGGCTGATTCCACAGACGACCTAATTCATTTGTCTGCAGCAAGACAAACAGCCTTGTCCTCTTAGGTCGTGGTATTGAGGGGGTGGGGGGTTCTCAGGAAGGGGTGGAATCTCAAGAGTTGTATATTGTCCATTTTATTGTCTATTGAGTGAACATGGGCAAGAGTGAAAATGTTGCCCACTCTGGTGTTTGTGCCTCGGCCAAAGTAGAGGACAATCAAAAAGATATACTATACTGGAAACTCAGTTGCACTCAGCTTTTCAATACGGCAAAAATATTAATCATTCTTTGCAGAGGAAAAAGAATGTATGACCTGAGCATTGTTGTATGGTCTGTCTGCTTGTGTTGCAGCACCGTTTGTGTTCAAAAACCCGTTGCTAGATAAAAATTTGTAGCTTGTGTCCCTCTGGAGTTTTGTATCGTATGTTAGTGTTCAGGTGGCAACGAATACACAACATTTCTTTGTTTTTTGTGTTGGTGTAAATTTACGATGCAGTAAAACACGGCTGACCATGACAAATGAATTGTCACAGGGTCTTAGTGTTATCATTCATCTAACGAAAGTAAACTATCTGAACAAAAACAAACACTTTACTGGGAAACACGATTAGATGAGCTAATGGAATGAGCATAGATGTGACAGGAAATATGAACATTCAAACCACTGCTACTTTGACACACACACAGAGCTGCAACACATACAAACAGAGCATAGATCAATGCACACAGGAATATATTTTCTCTGCTCTGTGGCGACAACGATGACGGCAGTATTACTGGACAGTGTGACTTTTGTGCTCTTAATAATGCTGCATTTCTCCCACCAGACCACAATGCAACCTAAACAGGTTGCAACACAACAGGGTACTACGCTGGACTTTAGGGAGTATTAAAAAAATAGTAATCCAATTAACATGGGAGTTTTCGTATGGACCAAACTTTGGTTGCATTAATGTCATTCGTATATAAAATCTGCTATATTGCGAGGGTGTGAAGAATATTGTGAGGACGGCACTGAACCAGTTTTTATACGAAGAGGTGTAGCTAACGACAAGTTATGGATTTCTGAAAAAATGTTAGCCATTTCCATGTTCCTGATATGAACCCTTCCCACTGCTGCAGCTCTCTGCCTCTTCGATAAAGTGTGTTTGCTGGCATGGAGCGCTAGAAAACTGTAACCTTTCTTTCCAAGTGACATCAGTAATATCCATCCATCTATTATCTGATCTGCTTATCCGCAAGAGGGCGCGGGCGTGCTGGAGCCTATCCCAGCCGTCTTTGGACAGTAAGCAGGGGACACCCTGAAGTGGTTGCCAGGCAATCGCAGGGCACACAGAGACGAACAACCATCTGTGCTCACACTTACACCTAGGGAAAATTTTAGAGTGATAATTGTGATTTGATCCACTGAATCGGTTTTGAGTCCAATCCAGGCCACAATACCTGGATCGATATCGGGTTGTTTTTATTAGAACCAGCCAGATCCAGTCCATAAGGTTAAACTGTATCATATTCAGACAACTTCATTTTGCGTGAGATGCCACACACACACACACACACACACACACACATATATATCTATATATATCTAGATATACAATCCCCGACCTTCAACCTCCACTGGTAGCC